CAGCCACTCCAAAAGGTGTTTTTACGTGGCAGGTATGTTACTTTTTAAAACATTCCAATTTTGTTTGTACCAACACTTTAAAAATTAGGGAAGAATTTAAATGTATCCTATTTCATAAAATAACAACTGGATAATATGCCCTGCTGGGCCCACATTCCTCGTGGCATCAAATAACAGGGCTGAGCTTCACTGCAGCCTTGCCACATGACGTGCCCAACCAGGGGCTGCTAGAGCTTGTGCTTCCAGCCTTTCCCTGAAACAATCACAGAACATCGCCTAGCCAACCCTACTCAGTCAAGGGAAAACTATGGCCCATATTTGCACAAGAGTAACAAGCTATCTCTAGTGGCAGCCCGGATACACATAAAACAATGGCATCCTAGAAGCAGAAAATTGACAAGTTCAACATACACTGGGAAACCGAAGAAGGGTGGAAGGGAAGTAATTCAAAGAGTGTGGCCAATTCTTTCTGCTAGGTAATGCACCCAGTGGGAGCTGTTCCCCCCAAAAGGTTTCAGTTCTCTAGTGTATCTCAGTGTCAAACATGAAGTCACATATATCATATGCAAAGCAGTATTTTAAAGCATTTTCAGTTATTTTTGCCTTATCCAAAAGATCAACTCCACTGCAGCCTGATTTCTCAGGTCACTGATCCATACATGAAACCATAATTTCTTCAACTAATGAAGGTCGTTAAGGCAGAGGGTGGGAACAATTTCCACAAGGACTCCCTCCAGTGAGGAGGCAGCCGACCATGTCCTGAACCTGTGGTTCTGTGAGCAGACAGAATTGGGTTCAAATGCTGACCCTGTCAGTACTTGCTGTGTGGGACCCTGAGCAAGTTGCTGGGCTTCTCTTCTCTAAGACTCAGTGTCTAGTTCTAAGAAATGGGAGTCATAATAACAATTACCCCCACAAGGGTTGCAGTGGAGACTCAGTGAGATAATCCATGCAAAGTGAATGCTCAGCACAGCGCTTAGCTCAGTAAACACTGGCTTAAAAGTCCCTGGTCTGATATTACAGTTCCCTAACCCTGCACACAACCTTCCAAAGCTCCTTTTTATATCCTACTATATTTAACATAAATCTATAATCCCCTCCAAATGCATGGTTAAGTGCAGTTAAAGTATGTTAAAAGTATAAGAAAGGGGCTTAAGCTTGAGAAGCTCAGCGGGAACTACTGCATCTTTCATACACTGGCATCTGGCAGCAGTCGACTGACTGGCTTAACCCACCCCATTTTACAATTTTATGGCAATGATGGGATCACCATGAAGGTCCTGATGAGTCCTGCACTACTGTGGAATCTCCTCCTCCTAATCTCCAGTTGCAGCTTTTTTTCATGCACTGCTGCCCTAACCGTCTACTGCAGCTCACCTCAACTCTATCACACATCCACCCAATAATTACCACACGCCTGCTGTGTGCCAGGCACCACACCACGTGCTGGAACAAGAGTGGTCCAAACCAACCAGG